ACCAAGTAGTAAATTGGGAGTCCTCACCGGAGCTGGGGCAGCTAATCCGTGGAGGCCGAGAACTGTATCCAAAGGACACTCTGGTGGACACTGCACTAAGACACAGCACTACACCTCCGGAAGACTCACAGGAATTCATAGAATTGCCTGGATATCGCGCGAGAGCCTTGACATAACTATACGAATCAACCCGAGAGTGTAGTTTCTGATCAGGGTGGCGACCCGAAGGGAACCAGAAATCGAGAACGTTATCTGTATCGGTAACCGGAGCCGCCTTGGGACCGTGATTTGAAAAATCACGTCATATCATATATTTTATTATAAATTTGAATACAAATTTCAAAATATTAAACATCTGCAGACCTGCAGTTTTTTTTTTTCTTGCCGAAAATGCTCTCTGCATGGTTATTTTTTTAGATACAAAAAACGACTCAATGTAATTTCTTTAGGGTTGTTTTAGGTCGCTGAGCTCTGATATAATAATAAATACGGCTCACTGCTATTGTCTTAGTATCGGGTCGTTCCAGATGCTTAACATCACGAAGAAAAAGAAAAATTAATCTGCGTGCTCTTTATTTACCTAATACGAAAAAGTAACTAGAGATGTATACTGAAAGTAGTGAAGACTCGGTGAACCGAGTAATAAATCGATCTTGATTAATAAAATCTGGAGCATTTCGAATTCGATGTACAAAATATTTTTTATATCAAGAAAATCATGTCAGACGCTTTTATTACGTTGAAAATCCACGTTGTCTTTTTCTACGGTCGACTACGGTGTCGCGAATGGTTACCTGAGAATCTAATTATCCGAGTAAAGGGATTCGAACAAGAGAGAAGTAGGAAAGCGAATCAAAAGGAAGTGACGATGAAAAGACGAAGGAATTTCTTATATCGCGAGAAAAAGTGGATTCCAAGTTTATTATTTCGAGAAATCTACATCCCTTTCACGAGTAAGATTTTCTCTTGAATTAATAGTAAAACGCTAGCTATACAGTTACGGTGCGCCCAAGACGGAGGAAAGCGTACGGCTGTAGGAAGTAACAGTAAAGGGCTACGAAGGGATGCTTATAGCTTCTTCGTCAAAGGGGCTTCTTGGTAAGCGAGCACCCTTAGGAACGATAATAATTACTGAGGAGTTTAAATCCTCTTGGCGGAAGTGCAATTTTTTCATTCAATTAAATCCCCACGTCGCGAACGAGCGGTAGGTTGTTGTAAGCATAGCGGAAATCTTCCTCAATGAATAGGAAGCGTCGGCAGTGGATTTTCTCTTGGAAATTGTAAACTCGGAAGTTCTTTTTTAAGAATTATTGGAAAAGTACTAAGTACCGACGTTAAACTCAATTATTATACCGGCTGGCTCGCCAGATTTCTACGTACCTATCCGACCCTCTGTATACCTCACGGCCTATACTCCATTCATATTAACTGGCAATTCGTAATTAAACGGCCGAGCGAACTACACGCCAACCAGCATCCGGCGCTACTGACGCCATGAAGTTCCATTGGTGTCCTACCATAGACTGCATTGAAATTACAATTTCTAACAGCATAAACAGTTCCCCATGCCGACCATGTGGTTCGGTCTACTTATTCATGGGAACTGCGTAAACGCAAACGTGATCCTAGCAATGGCGTGGGTTATTTAAGAATTTAATAAAATCTCAAGGCCATTCAATCCCTATAGGGATACTACAGTATACAGTGGGTTCGCCTTATTTTATACGTATAAAAAATTCAATAAATAAATTACTCGACTTTTTTTTTTCGGTAACATTAAAATATACCGATATTATGCCCCAATAGATATTTCAAAAAAGTGTACATATTTTTTTCATAAAAACAAAAATTTTTAATTTTACAAAAAAAAGATCAACATCGATCAGACAAAAATATTTGCTATAACGCTAATGAACTTTTCGTTGGGAAATTAGTTAAATAGATATTTTTCACATATAAATTTTTTTACGTAAAATAATCATATCCAACTTCGCTACGATCTTTCGAATAGGAAAAACAAAATTTATGATACCTAAACCCAGTGAAAATTATTACGTTCATCGTTAATGCGTGCTATGATTATACGTTGCGATACCTTTTACGAACGTTTACATTATTATATTCATTTGCTTTTACCGTACCATCAACGGGTCATTTAACCCTTTTATATCCAAAAATACGTATATAAAAAAATCGTCGGTATGTTTAACGCTAAATACCGACTGTCCGTCTACCTGAAATGAGACGCAAAAAGGGCAATTATGGAAATGACCCCGTGACAGCTAAATTCCATATAATATCAGTATATACCGGGTGTGCTCGGTAACCCAGTAAAATTCGCTTAAATACTTCGGAGTAAAGAGTGCTGGAAAATTTTCGCAATTCAAACAAGATGCCTTACAGCAGAGGGTCTCAGTCAGCCAATCTGTGCACAGGGGTAGGAATTAAGAGAGAAGAAAGTAAATAAATCCATGCACACGTAAAGTAGCAAGAGAGAGAGAGAGAGAGAGAGAGAGAGAGAGAGAGAGAGAGAGAGAGAGAGAGAGAGAGAGAGAGATACAGACTAAGCGTCCTAGCAGTTGGCCATTTCGCTTTAACTGTTTCCAGGGCACTTTAATTCGCTTTATCGTTAGAATAGCGTGGCTGCCTCGTAAAGGATCCGTCCGCGCTATTCCGGTTGGTAACCGTGGCTCTATTATTGCAGAAACCGAGGAAATCTAAACGGCGAGTCAGCCCTCGTAAACATTCCGAACGGACAGGAGTTTAATTCGATTAGGGTGCGATCATTGGTTTGAGCCCGGTTTGCTGCTGGACTCGACATAGTGAATTTTCCTGGACGCATTATCGAGGCTTGCGATTCAAATGAGGTAGACCGACGTTCGCGCATACCTATACGCACTACGAATTACCATCGGCATGCCACTCTGCCCGTTTAATGGCACGGATTAAATTATGCCGTGTTTGCTGAACGGGGCTTACGTGCCTACGGCAACTACATACCCTTGTGTATCCAGAGTGCCTAGACAACCTGGATAACCTGGAGTACCTACGGCACCTATAGTAGCCCGTTTTGCACGTGCTATTAAAAAGCCTAAAAATGTACAGTTTGTGGGATAATGTGTAAAAGTGAAAAAAAGTCACTGATACAACTATTCGGTAAATAAATTTCATGGGATAAGAAATTTTAGTTTTTAAAAAATATTCATTTTTTATTAATTACTTGGGTTTCTTAATTTAGATAAATAATATATTTATTCGAAAATAGATTTAGTCTGTATTTGTTGGGTCCGTAGAGAAACTTAGGACTCGATTGTAAAGTCATTTTGAAAATTGACTCTCCAGAATGGTTTTAGCAGTGATTTTTTAAATTTCCATTTATTAGTCAATTTCATCCGTTTTACGAACACTCTGTCAAATTATTCGTATGATGCAACTTGTAGGTTGGATAGTCGTATTAATCAAATCGTTCGTTTTTACGCATACCTGATTTAATTGCACGTCCCATGCACCCTTAATATACACATATAGGAGTAGATTTGCAGTAAATTGCTAGGAATTTTTAAAAGCGCCTAATTAATAATCAAAATTTCTCATGCACGGTGTAATTTGATCTCGAGGAGCAACCTATGTAGATTTTATGAATATTTGGAAATATCCTGCAATTTAATTCAGATATTATTGTCACTTAAAATCAATTTAAAAAAATCCTTGTCTGTACCAATAAAAAATATAAATAAGATGGACTTGATTTTATAATAGAAAAAAATTCCGCGTATACAGTCGATAAGGAAGCTAATTCCTTGAAAGGATACAGAATCCCCATGAGATCGCCAGACAATGGTCGCTCAATATATCCTCAGGAGATGCAGCCTGGCCTAAGCAGACTTGTTTCGGTAATCCTTGCACATCCCCTTCCTGAATCCTTGTAAGTCTCAAAACCTCTGGATTTCGCGAGGAAAGTCTAGGACTCCTTGTCACCGCTTGTTAGATGCTTATAAACTGAAAATTCCATTCCGCAGGCTATTCAGGCTTCTAAGCCTGAGCCAATAGGACGCATAGGAGGTGACCGGAAGGATGGCACTGAGTATTCCAATACGAAGCGTCGCAGCATTGCAGATAAAGTTGGCAAACGACCTAGATTAATAGGACACAGGGTATAGCGGCTGGTTCGGCCAGGCTTTTTTATTCGAACGATACTATCGATTTGCTTTCCTCCATCTACGACCCTCTCGCCCCTCGTAAATCCCGCAGAAGATTTACTTACGCGAATTGGCTGTGCTCACTTCATTGCCAATAAACCGTAGGAGGAAAACAAGCGATCGTTAAGGACTGGAACTGCATGTCCCCGGTCTCTACCGGCCCCGGCCGGGCCAGGACACGCTACCCAGGTCGCTCCTACCCTCCAGAGGAATCCTAAGGGACTGACGAAGGAAGGTTAAAAGGAAGAAGAAAAGAAGTCAGAAGTCCAAGTATTCGATAATGCCTGACGAGGAGCAAGGGAGTAAAATTAAATTGTCTTCCGGTATCCGGGTACGGGTCCAGCTGATCCGGGAAGGGCCTGGTCCAGGTCGGAAGAGAACGTTTACTCGCATACTATACGTATACAGCATACACCACCTCGCCGATTTCTTTTTGGCAATCAAACAAGCAAGACGCAGCGTCCCAATTGCAGTTACGTAAACCATCCCCCAGGATCCGCCGATAACCGCAGAGACTCGAAACTTTCCCCGGGGAGGATCCCACGGGAAGTTTGAACTTACTTCCGGAGTTTGAGCGGTCTTGTGGATTTGCCTAACCGCGTTAGCGAAACCTGATCCAAATATCGTTCGCAAGAAGTGCCAGCCCCTCCGGTTTTAAAACTTGTATACCACCGATAAGTCTATAGTCTTTCGGATCGACGCCAGCGGCGAATCCAGACGCCGTTAACGGCCCCCATCAATTTTCACCGGAAGTCCCGACAGCCGCCATTGAAATTCATCGTCTCTCTTATTTTTTTCTAGATGAGCGGAAAGCGCACTAGGAGCTTCAAATGCGCCGTTCACCACCGGGACCGGGAGGTCTGCTCGGAGAACGACTTTCACCTGCTGCTCCACGAGCCCCCGTTATTTCGCAGGTACGTAAAACGGCCTTTGGTATCTGGGTATATACCGTGGGGATCGTTAGTATAGCTATATGTACCTACCAAGTAGAAAAGCGACTCGTTAAGCCGGGCGGACTATATTCAGGGAGGTATTAACGTCTCTTGACTCCCCATCTCGTACAACGTCCTCAGGATTCACCACACGAAATTTACTCCTCTTATCCCGCCTCGGGTACACGTCCTAGCCGGAGTCCTTCGAGTCCTGCGACGTCGCGCGTCCCACGGGGATTCAACGTAATCGTAGCTAAGAAGTTGGTGAGAACGTATCCCACGAGAGTCGTCTCCAATTAGCCGGAAGCCAGGGATGCGTGAGTGGATGAGCTCGGTAGGGTATACTAGACGGGTACCGGTGCTGGTACACGCACCTGGATCTATGTGGGGTGCCTGACGGAAGGGGATGATAATGTCACGATAGCCCAGTTACGACCCTTATTTTCTAAGGAACTAATTGCCGACGTAGTAGACTGGCTAAGTAGCTAGATAGCCGAGTCCCGAGAAGGGGTTGTCATCCTGACGTCTTAAGTCAGCCTGGAGAACGTGGTTGGAATTGTATAAGGGTAGGACAAACGGGAAGGGGTCGTAGTCGCCAGGATCTACCTGATTACGATGTTTGGTATATGATCAAATTAACTTGGATACTCGTAGGGTGTTTATTTTATACATCCTTCGTTCTTGTTCTTCGTGCGCATGCGCGCACGCTTGCCATTTTTTATGGGGGTTGTATTTTTAAAGCAAACGCAGCTAGGAAAAAGATAGGCTTGTGCTCTTTAGTATTCGTGCTGAATATCCGTACAGAGAGTGAATGAGAGAGAGAGAGAGAGAGAGAAAGAGAGTCGTTCATACCCTGTTTCTCTATTCTGGATTTTACATCATGGACCACTGGCCAAGTTGCATGGAAGCAACCATGAACCGGAAGTAGCATACTCGTACCCCACGCCAGTCAGCCACTTGGTCCAGCCCCGCGCGAGTGGCCCAAATAACGTAAAACCTTGGAAAAACTTCTCTTGGACCAGGTGAACTTCTATCAGCCAATAAAAAAAATAAGCAGGATCGCCAATCCACAGATAAAAAATTTCGGGGTCTTCAGGTAGTTTATAAGTTTCTGATCGATCATTCAGAGCAAAGGTGACTCCTCTCAGTCTCCATTCTTCGATTCCTGGTATCGCCGGGATCTCGTCCCTTTAAAGACCCAACTTCACCTCGCCGGCACGAGGATATGGTTGCTCGAAGTTGGTCCTGCCCGCTGTAGCCGTTTATAAATAATTCATCGTAGCCGGACGAAGGTATATAGAATATCCAATGGCGATTCCAGGGGTGGTTCAGGACCGAGTGACTGTACGCGGGACCCCTCGACTCTATTTTTTTTCTCTTAATTCAAAATCTCAGCTCGCTACGAAATTCCTGTGCACACAAGATAAGAGCCGCACCTGGCCTCTTTGCAAATAAAATATCGTGTCGTGTCAACTTTGCGCGACTTGGCCGGGTCCTTCCCCGGCCCCCCGGTCGTGCCTGGTGAAAATATGACGGAACGATATTCCAGGCAGGTACGCGACGGCAGCGCATGCCTCGCATTCGCTATGGAACATCCCTTACACCAGGGGCAAAACTACCCCCCGACGATTCCGCGCCAGCTTCCTTCCGCTTTATACCAACAAGCTCGGCTCGTCCCGCGTCCCACCTCGATTTCTCATGCTTCTTCCCATCCGCCATGCTGGATAAGTAGATGGGTTGGTAACTATGAATACACCTAGGCACTCCTATGGTTGGCTGCCTGTCTAGTTGCTGCCTAGTTCCTTAGCTGTCTAGATCCCAGGATCCTGAGACGCCTGGATTCCTACGTGCCAGAGACGGTTCACTCTTCCTCGACGTACGCGCGCGTACCTACTAGCTATATACCGGGTGTACCTAGTTTTATCTACTACGTAAATTCTCAAAGTAACTCGAGAAGTAAATGTCTCCCGGCGCCTCGTGCACCTGGGGGACCGGTTGACACCTCGGAACAAGTACGTCCCTTACATTTTTAGGAGGAACGTCGCCGGGTAACGGTGTCGTAACCGGAGCTGCGCGACGCCCCGATGATTCCAGCCCTGGATTACGAAGCGGCCGTAAATTTTACGACGCCGACGCCTCCACGTGCCGTCAGAGACTCGTGATGGATGCCTCGTGAGAGGATCGATCGGATTGGCATTGAAGATTCTGCTGAGAAAAATATATATATACAGTGATAGAAAAAAAAAAAAAAAAAAAAAAAAAAAAAAAAAAAAAAAAAAAAAAAAGAAAAACAGGATCATCTTCATATCTCGTACCAGGATATTTCAGTACCTCGTATTATCCCTTACGACTGGTAGCAGAAAAGCGTCGCGACGCCCAGTGGATTCGCTACAGTAAAATAAGCGAGATTGACTTGAAATTATTTGGTAATTTTGAGACCCGTCAAAGGGTCAAAAAAAGTATTTGATCGACAGCCTTTTATTTTATTTTTTTTTATTTTTTTTTTTATTTTACAAGGGTATACAACTGATCTGACAAGTCAGCGGTGTTACGGAGTAGAGAATGAATTTGACTTTTTTTTTTGTTTTTGTGTTGGCGAAATTGATTTTCTTCACGTAAATTGAAAAGCAGAAGTCAGGAGGGAGACAAATGAGTGTTCTCTAATTCGTATTTCGCTTCGGCATGCGGAATGGTTGGTATATGCTTACGACCCTTAAATAGGAACCTGGGTATAGCAGCGGCATAAATACCTACAATGTGATTCTTTGGACTCGACTGGTTTCATTGTAGCCTCAAGGCAAGGCCGCATCAAAAGCCAGCGAGACATCAAAGCCCTAAGAAATCGCGTTCGCGTGAGACTAAACATTGCTGCTGCAAATTGGAATGCCGAATGCCTCTAGTTTTTCTACCGCGGTGACCCGTTCCCTTTTAATTTACCATGTTTTCATCCTGCTCCTCTCCCTACCACCTACTCGTTACCATACACAGAAACGCACGTTCTAATAAAATCGTCCTCAGCTTTCCTTTCATTTCTTAAACGAACGCTAAAGCGAAATTGTATTCAACCCGTTCGCCAAGCGATACAACAAAAGTGGAGAATGGACGCTCGTTAAAATTTAACGGGACTCTTGATATTTTGTAATTTTAAATAAGACCTTTTTTTTTTTTTTTGTATTAAATAACGATCAAAGCATACGCGACAGAGAATATGGATTTGCGTGGTTATATCCTATTTTTGGTAAATTTTGATAAAATTATGTAAGATGAAATATTTTTGTTTATCAAAATTTTTTTTACATGTCATCTTTTTTACGTTTATAGGACCTGTGGACGCATTTTAATTTATGCTTCTCGAATTCAAGGAATATATCTTTTATACGGCCTTTTTTTTCTTTATGTCATCTCTGACCTGTCAGGTGATGAAGTTAATTGTAGGTATAAAGGGCCGAGGTGAACCGACTTGACCTTTTGGATTGTTAAACACACTAAGGGTCTCGTAGTGGGCCACCTGGTCAATAGGGCAATGCAAAGTCTTTGGGAATCTTAACGAGTGAATCCTCGAATAATGGACACCCAAAAATTCGCTTTCTGATTTCTATCGGTTGCCTTAAAAAATTGATGAGGCATAAAATAATATCACAGAGACACACTAGAAGATACGAGACAACCACTTTTGACACCATCGACGTAATCCACGAGACGAGATGCAGCAGAATGCAGACGAGAAGAAATTTGTGGAGAAAGAAAAAAGAAAAATTGAGAAACTGTGCAGTTCGTAAAGAAAAAAGATATGAACCTCGATGAAAATTTCAACGAAGGAATCTCCTCGCAGCATCCAACGAATTGTCTCGTGAAAAAGTAGAATTACAAATTACCAAAAAAGAAAAAAATTTCCGAAAACCACAAAACCAAACGATATCACAAACAGAATCACTGAAATATCCGAAACACTCTCTCCATTGAATTCAAAGAAAATTAAGTCACTAGAGAATTAAAAAGAAAAAATTTCACACAGCACGCACAACTTCGATAAATCCCTCAAACGAATTATTGACAAAAAAAAAAAAAGAAAAACCTATCAATACCTCGTCAATAAATATAGTACAACATAGTCAAAGTATCGAATACATAAACAAGAGAACGAGCGTACCGCACTCTACGGCAGCTCGCGGCGGAATGCCGACTCTCCTTTGAAGTCCTTGACGCTGCCACCAGGGAGGTTGAGCTCCGATTGGTCGGTCTATACCCCCACGTAGTGTTGCCCCTAGAACGAGCCAATGGCAGCTCGCGGATTCTCCCCACCATTCGAGGCGCGTGTACACCCACGCCTGATGGCTCGTGGCACTCGCGTTTGAGACTTGAGCAAGTCAGTCAGTCACTCAGTAAGCCCGTGGCGCCCTACGACAAGGGACCTACGAGTGGCGGTTGGCAAACGCGAACGTATTCGAACGTTGCCTTAAATTACGTTACGTTACGCGTTGGGTTCCTTAACGTTCCTATCAAATAATAATTCTATATTCCCTCCTACAAGGTCCCCCTCCACCCTCCCACCACACTGCTCATCATTGTCTCGCTCATCCTTCCATTCCATTTTTTCTTCGTAAGCTTTCGAGAGACAGGCGCGACTGTTCGGTCGCGTCTTCAGTTTTTCGCGGTGCGCGTACCAAAGAAATCATTCAAAGTGAGTGCGACTAAGGTCGTCGTGATACCACAGAAAACAATGTGCGTGACAACGCCACTTAGTGCTACAAAAATATTAAAGGATACACAGGCACCACCAAGGACTATAACCAGCAGTGCACAAGTGCAAGGATTACCACCTGGGAATGGAGATCCCAACAGGCCGCAGCATACGTCGATCATGTAAATATACTTTTATTTATTGGATACTTATGCGGGTGATCCTGACGCTAGGTTAGTACGTCTGTTAAGGAAACGTGGAATTTTTATTAATGCACGACTCTGACGTTTATCCAGACTTC